CTTTAGATGTGTATTTAAGGCACTTGGGCGGGTCCCCTCCCAGGTTTGAGTCCTAAAGTGAGGGTAGGCCAGGGCATTGACCCGCTAGTGACAGGTCACCTGGACCCCTGGAGGTGGAAAAGTCATTTATTGCTGGGAGCTGGTCTATGATAAGCTGCAGGCAGGTGAGCGCTCCCCTGGGTCACAGGTTGCAAGTGTTCAAGGCTGGGACTGCGGGCATCAAGCCCAGTCTCCACTGGTTCTATAAGCAAAGCTGGGCCGCAGGGCGGCTGAGCTCTGGGAGGCCTCCTGCGGGCAGCTGACCTTGTTCTGTCCCTCCCACCTGCAGACCTGTGGGGACTGGAATGGCGTCCTCCCTGCTCCCCAGGCCCTCCAGGCTGAGGGCTCCAGGGAGAAAAGGGCTCTGAGGCCTCCGGTGGGTTCTGAGCCCTGGTGGCAGCCTCTCCTCTCCGGGTTTAAGGGAGCACACTCCCATACCCTGGAGGGATGGAGCATCTTGATCAGGTGTGGCATGAAATCTTCCTGAGCGCTACCTGCTCCACTCCCCGGCTGAGCTTTGGCACTGGCAGTGAGAACAATAACACTCCATGTTGATGAACTTCCCTAGGGCTCATGGAGATGTCTGAATCCCCTATGAAAGGCCATGGGAAGATGAAGTGCCCTGTTCTGTGTGCTTCCCTCCCTGGGCTCTGCCTGGGAACTTCATCTCTCCCTGATGTTGACCCCGGGCACTGATGCCCTCCGCTGAGGTTCAGTGCTGGGTCCCTTCAGCCCTGAACTTGGGGCATGTGCCGCAGCTCCGGAGCCTGAACATGGAAGTGTTTAGGAGAACTGAAGCCCAGTCTCAAGCAGCCTTCCTTCCTAGCTTAGCCGCTCAACCCAGCAGTTGAGAGCGTTTTGTTTTCCAACACCCAGGCCTCAGGGGGTTCTCACATTGAATGAGAGGGAGGGGGGAAACTTGGGAATTTTGATCTACAGTTATGATGTGACCTTTTTAACTGATAAATACATACTTCTCCTCTACCGCACCACAGTGGACCTTTGCTGCCTTCCCCAAGGAAGGCGCCAATATGCTGGTTCCCTGCTGGCTTCTGTTCTGAGCCATCCAGGGCTTGACCTTGGCTGGTCTCTGACGTCCTTCTACAGCTGTTTTCTCTTGTAGTTGGCAATGGTGAAGTGGTCCTGGTTGTCTAGGTGAGCTGGCCTCTGGGCCTCCACTATCGTGATGTCTAAGCAGGGGTACCCCTCATTGCTCACTGAGAGGGCAGCTGTCTCTCCCGTCCCCCCACCCCCATGAGGTGTCGTCTTGCCCTGATCCTCTGCACCTGTGTGGGTGCCAGCCTCACTGAGGCTTGTGCTGATGGCAGGGTGCATCCTTGAGCCAGCCCACCTGCTGCTGATGGGCTCCAGGCTGCCTCCAGTTCTGCTGTTTGAGCAAGGCTGTGTCTGATGATGCCAGGGTTTAAGGAAGGTGGTATCCCTCAGCAGATGTCGCTTGTTTGCTCTTGCACCAGTGGGAAGCGAGCTCAGTCAGGCATGCAGGACAGGTCAGCTGGGCACAACAAGCACAGCACATCACAGTGGTCCTTGGTTAACACATTGTCACTGGTGGTCTCGTGCATCAAAAGCCATAGACCAGCTGCACACCCTGGAGCACACCAGTCATCCCAACCGCTCCAGAGGCTGAGGCAGAAGGATCACAAGTTCAAAGCCAGCCTCAGCAGCTTAGTGAGACTGCAAGCAACACAGCAAGACCCTGTCTCTAAATAAGATATTAAAAAGGGCTTGGGATGTGGCTCAGAGGTTAAGGCCCCTGGGTTCAATCCCCAGTACCCACCCCCCCAAAAAAAAGGCCAGACCAGGAATTTGGACCTGCTCAAATTCTTTGCTCATTTCAATGCTTTGAGCTGTTGATCCTCTCCATGGATCAGAAGAGAGATTTATATAAACTATTCTTCATATATTTCAAATGTATTTTCACCAGTTTGCTTTTTCAGGAAAGATGTAAATATTGATATGCTACTTTTGTTTTTATGGATTAGGAAGGGGACTGAGTCAAATGAATTTCTATCTGGCTTTTCTACTATTGGATTGAAATGTTCTGTTCCATCTACAGATTATTTGGTGATTAAATATAAAGTAGAAATTCATGAACACAAATATTTCATAACTTGAGTATATCTTCTTTTTCTTTTAATGCTGGGAATTGGGGAATTGACCCCAGGGGTACTCTACCAATGAGCCACAGTCTTTTTTTTTTTTTAAAAAAAAAAAAAAAAAAAACCTAGGTTTCACTGTTGCCCCAGGCTGGCCTTGAACTTGTGACCCTCCTGCCTCAGCATCCCAAGTCCCTGGGATTACCCATTAATCTATTACTAACTGAATTCAATGACTTCATGATTTATAGAAGTTTTTCAAGGACTTTCCAGGGTGAACATACCCACCTATGAATGTCAGTTTTTACCTTTGTCGTTTACACCCCACATTTCTCCATCTGCTTTGATACCAAAGGTAATGTAAACCATGGAATTATAAAACAGTGGGACCCAGAGGACGTGCAGGTGGAGAGGACAAAACTGGTCAGCAATGTCCGTTGCTACCATCCCATCTGATTCCCCCTGGGTCAACAGATCGGCTTGTGGGGCAAGCGTTATTCACCACTAGGTCTGTCTGCCTGCCTGCAGCTTTTACACTAGAAAACCTTGCTGGATGCATTGAAGGCTCTTCCTGTGGGCACTGCCAGTGTGTCCACTAGACCCTGCAATCTGACCTTACTGCTCTGTGAGTGTCACCACAACTGACTCAGTACTCATGTTGGCGTAAACTCTCAGGTTCCTGACTATTCCTGGTTAAGTGCTCTGAGACCCAGGTGCACACTGTGCTCTGCCTGGGAGGTCAGTCGGGGGCGTCCCTGGGGATCCACCTGCTGACGGCCATGTGAACTCACTAGGCCTCACATAGGCCTGGGGAAGTGGGTGCTCGAGTCCCACAGGACAGGGACAGTGGCTGCTTGCCTGGGGATGCCTGGGACAGCTGCAGAGCAGGGCTTGAGCATGGAGTCTGTCCTGGGCGCCCAGCCTCTCCCCTACAGTCTTGGGCCTCCTGCGTCTGAGTCTCCTGTGGGTTACCAAGCTGGCTGACGCCAATCCGCTGTTGCAGAGCGCCCTCAGGAACGTGAGGGAACAAGGGAGGCACCAGCCTCTGCCGGCAGCACTGCCCTGTGACCCTCATCTGGGAAAGAGCCTTGCCCTGCTGGTACACCACACCCCAGGAGGGTCCCATTGCTGACCCGTCCCTGAACCCCAGGGAAGCCCCCAGGAGCAGCGTTGGAAAGGAGCCTTTGAGGAGGTCTTTCTTCATGGGTCTCCAGGCCTTGTGCTGGTTTTCTTCCATGTGTTTCATAATCTTTGTTTTCTTCATTTTCTGAGTCCATTTTCTGCTGTTATAACAGACCAAGTAACCTACAAGGGACAGTTATTTGGCTCACATTCCAGAGGCTGTGAAGCACAGAACCTCCCATGGTGGAGGTGGAGGGGCAAGGGAGGCTGAGATGCTAGCTGCCCCTCCTTGAGGCCACATCGGGCCACTCAGGAGGGAGGGAAGGGCCCTCATGGCTGCCCTTTCCCAGCACAGCTACATGGGGTCTGTTTCCAGTGAGCTCTGAGGGACACACCAGTACCACAGCATCCTCCAGCCCTCCTGTGAAGGTGACCTTGGCAAACCCCTCCTGAGCCTCCCTAGTTGGAGGATGGCAGGCAGGACTGAGAGCACTAACCCCCAGGAGGAAGCTGGTCTACTGGATCAGGGAGCCACAGCAGACGGCCAGTCTGTGGAAGCAAGTGGAGACAGCGTGGCTGCAGGCTGGTGGCACCTCCCGGGCTGGCATGTTCTCTCCAGGACCCTAGCATATCAGCAAGTCAAGGCAGAGAGAGCTGTGTAGGCACAGGTAGCAAGCAAGGATGACATACCCCACCCCTCACGGTGGCCCTCAGAAAAGGCCCACCTGTTGTAGTCTAGGGGTACTGTGTTGCTTCCCATGGATTAAGCAACTTTCTAAAACTACTTTCTACCACCAGGTAGAAAACCAGACGAGCCCTAAACCACCACCCCATCCTGCTCTCCCTTTTCAGAGGTTGCAACATAGCAAGAGGAGGGGTCAGCAGCATTGAGAATGGCTCCCAGGCGCCACTAACACTGCAAAGTGTCTGTCAGGACCAGCCCTTCAGGGATGGCAAGGCAGCATGCAGCAGAGATCATGCCCATACCTGTCACAAGTCCAGGGGACCCTGGGGAGTCTAGCCTGAGGACCACTGCTCAGCCCTCTGTACCACCTCCTGGGGAAGTGCCTTCCCAGGTCCTTGGCTCACTTCAGATTGCCTCTTTGAACTTTTATATTACCCAGGTATAAGTCTATTATCTGTAAGATTTTTCAGATATTTCAGTAATTCTTCTACTAGGACTATTTCCCGCATTTGTGAGACTCCTGCTAAGCACACAATGGCCCTCGGCTGATTGGACACCACCATGGGGTAGGCTGGTGGCAACTGCTGGGAACCCAACTGCTCTTCCTTGAGCCAGGAGCCTCAGATGGGCATCTTGAGCTTTATCTGTGCCAGGTGCACTTTTGAGGGACCCAGAACTCCTGATGACAGGATGGACAGTGGCCATTGATGCTGGCTTTTTTTCCCCCCCAGACAGGGTCTCCCTGGGTTGCTTACAGTCTTGCTAAATTGCTGAGGCTGGCTTTGACTCTGCAGTCCTCCTGCCTCAGCCTCTCAAGCCCCTGGGATGACAGGCATGTGCCAACATTCCCAGCTGCAATCCTGGCTCTTTGAAGAGTTGTCATCTGTGTGTTGTGTGTCTCTAATATTTCCCAAGAGGGATGGAGACCCTTGCCCACCCCCAAGGCACCTGAGTCAGTGCTGTGGGCTGAGCCTGGACCTCTCCCCCCAGGTCCCACTTGCTCTGCATAACAGGAAAGTCCACCTTCCCCGAAGGCCATGGCCCAGGCCTCCGCAGCAATGGAAACGGACCAGTTGTACACCTTGACCAACTACGGGCTGCAGTGGTGCCTCAAGGAGTTGGATAAGGAAGAGTTCCACACCTTCAAGAAACTGCTGAAGGAGAAGTACTCGGAGGTGACCAAGAACCCCATCCCTTGGGCAGAGGTGGATGCCGCCGGCCCTGAGGGTCTGGCCGCCCTCCTGCTTGAGTACCATGTGGGGCACCTAGCCTGGACTGTCTGCATTAGCATCTTTCGAGAGATGAGCCTCTTCACGCTCGCAGAGAAAGCGCGGGAGGAGGAGAGGAAAGGTGAGACGGGGGCAGGTTCAGGATGGGGACGGGGCCATCGTCATCCAGGTCCACTCTGCCATGGGAATCTGAATGGTGAGAAGCCACTGTGTCCTCAGCGGCTGGAACTTGGCACAGGGAGAAGCAGTGGACAGTGTCTCCACCCAGGCAGAAGTTGGCTGAGTTTAAGAGGATTCAAGTGATAAGTGTGTTAGGTTACACTTCTTACTGGTGCAAGCTTGCGTGGGTCTCTGCTATTCTACCCTTGGATTCCGCGTCTGGGAATTGCAGCTCCTAGCGATAGAATGTGTGTGTGATTGCAAAGGCTTCACGTGATGATGCACATCAAATGTCTAATGTCCGTGTCTGCCCCAGCCCCAGGCAGAAGGACGGGGCTAATGGTGCTGACTGAGGGGTTGGCCTCTCCTAGATGGTTGCACTGGAGTCTCGGCAGGAGACTCGGATCAGACGTGTGACTCTACCTTAGCAGTGGACTTCGATCAGAAGTTATTTGGGGGTCTTTAGGAGAAAGATCATTTTAAAACGTTGTTCTCCTTTATCAGAAGAAAGTCTCTTGAACTGTAGACTGAGAACGTATTGTAAAAAGCTCCAGGACTGGGCAGCCGAAGCAGCCTTGCTGACTGTGAGAATCTTGGGTCTGCTCGTCATCTGTCACTCACCCACACACGACTCAGCCTGTCGCCTCTGAGCTGTGGAGAAGCCTGTGTGGGAGACACACTGGGCTCTTTGCAGGAAGCTAGGGTAGCTGATTCTACTGAGTCACTGCAGTAGGTCACAGTCACATGGAAATGTCTGTGGGCCCTGAGGCTGGTCCTCGAGCCCTCCCCGCAAAATGGGCTACCCCAGCAGAAGCTGAAGCAGAGCTGCTTTCAAGTCCTGCAACCTGGCTGCTCTGGGGAGCCCACCAGTGACTTTAGGTAACACTTGTTTAGCATATATTTAAATTGTCCTCTGTCCACCACCAAGGACTTAGCTTTCAGCATGGCAGAGACACATGGGCCTTAATCTTAAAAAATGGATGGTATAGCAAAATTGAGAGGTTCCTACAGCAGACCAGAGGGACATGAAGTCTAGGATCACTTCTAGAAGAAGAAAGCTTTGGAGGAAGAGGAATAGGGCATGGTACAGAAGGTTCTGAGCAAGAGGCAGCAGTGGTAGGAAGCCTTGGTGGAGAGAGGGCTCGGGGCTGGATGTGGAGAAGGGGCTGGTGAGGTCACAGCGTCTCCAAAATGCTGGCAAGCCTGAGCAGTGTCCCAGGGGTGGGGCTGGGACAGCAGGCGTTTCAGTGCTGCTGCTGAAGGGCTGAGACCCAAAGGAGCTGTGGGAAGGCCAAGGCTGTTCTAAGGAAGCCAGGAGAGACGTGGAGGCCGCCTGGACAAGGTAGTAGAGAAGGATGCAGAGGCACAACTGGGAGATGATCTGAAGCAGGCAGAATCATATAAGGACTTGAGAGAAGATGGTGTCAGGATGGTACCTGGGTTTCTGGAGGGAGACACCAGGTGGGTGGAGCACTGGGGTAAGGCAAGCGTCTGTCTTGTCTGCCTTGGACCCACCTTGGACCACATAGCTTGAGGATGTCCCATTTGTGTAACTCAAGGCCTCAGGCGGGTGATCGACTGGGTCGGAAGTGAGAGGGTTGGAGGATGGCTCCCGAACGTGAGCATTTAGTGACCACAGTGTACCACCCCAGCACACCACCTACCAGGGCCACACGGCAGGCAGGTGAGCCACAGAGCATCCTTTCCTGTTAGTTGCCACCTCACTGTGCTCCAGGCATAGGAGGACTGACCCCATGTGTCCACCACGGGCTCCACATGGGATAAACTGATCTCCTGGGCTCCTCTAGGTCCTTCAGTAACGTGGGCAGGCCTGAGCTTGCCCCTGGCTTGGGTGGTTGCTACAGCTTACACCATTTTCTCTTCTCTGTTCTAGCATGTTCAATGTCTGAGATCTCAAAGTCTGAGCCACTAAAGACTACCCAAGGACCCAGTGGAGAAGAAGCACCAGGTTTGTGGGGGAGGTGGGGGTGGGAGGTGGAAGGATGGATGCACTTGTTCCATATGGTAAATGTCAGTCAGTCCCCAGATCATGTTGAGAATCTTTTCACATGCTCGTTGGCTATCTCCATATTCGGAGAAATGTACATTCAAAGCCTTCATCCATTTAACTGTCATTGGGCTATAATGTCTCTCTGTTTTTTGGATATGAGGTCCTAAACAATACATGATGGGCAAATATTTTCTCATTGTTTGGATTTTCTTTTCACTCTTAAAAATTTAAACCTTTTGTTTTGAAGGACACTATTATGAAGGCAAATTTTCTTGAGCTTTTAGTGTCCAATCTAAAATCTATTCCCTAGCCCAAGATCATGGTTTATGTCAGTATTTTCTTAAGAGTTTTATAGTCATAGCTCTTAAGAGAGCAATTAGTTCAAGCAGGGGATGTAGCTCAGCACTAGAACACTAGCTTGACGTGAGCAAGTTGTATTTTGAGTTGATTGTATGAGGTGTAGGGATCTATCTTCATCCCTTGGCTGGGGAATTCCAATTCCAGTAACAATTGTTGAAGTCTGTTCTTAAAAACTCAACTGTCAAGTGCTCTTTCTAATGAATTGAACAGAGGCAGGGGTTTGCTTTTGGACGGTCCTATTCAATGGATCTGTGTGTCTTTTTTGTGGCAATCCACATAGACCTAGCCTCTGTTGATTCTTGGTAAGCTTTGACATCAGGAGGTATGATTCTCCAATTTGTCCTCAAGATTTCTGAGCCATTCGGTGCCCCTTGGATCTCCATATGAATTTTAGGACCAGCTTGACAATTTGGTAAAAGAAGCCATCTTCTGGGATTTTGACATGCGTGGCATGAAATTACATAGATCAATACTGGGAGTATTATCTACGAACGAGGCGTCTTCAACCATGAACACAGGGTGGTCTTACCATTGCTTTGAGGCCTCTTTCAATTGTTTTGTGGCTTTCGGTAAACAGGCCTTACACTTCTCTTGCAGAAACTTCGCAAACTATGCAGCAAGACGGTGGGACAGCTGCAGAGACACGCAGACCAGGTGAGGGAAGCCCCAGTTCCTTTGGCAGCTGGAGGCAGCTGGGTGGAGGAGGGGGCTGTGGAGCCCACCTGGGTAGTTCACTGGGCTAATTCATCAGATTTTACACTTCCCCTCTCAAGCCCCAGGCCATGATACTCACTCCCGGTGGCCTCTGCCACCAGGCCCTGGGCTATGGCCAGGAACACACCCACCCACCCCACCCCCATGCCCACACTTTATGTAAATGAAGAATGTGGACTTGGTGGTGGGCTTCCTTGACCTTGAGCCATCAGGGTTCATCCAGGTTGTCGGGGGTCAGCCTCTGGTTGGCTTTGGTGCCTGACAGCTGGGCCTTCCACATTGTCTCCATCTGTTCCCCGCCGGCTGGTGGGAACCTGGGTTGTGCTCACTTTGGGCTGTGGTAAAAGATGCTGTGAACACCTGTGCTCAGAGGCAGTGATGGCGATTGGTGACCTGGATCATGACATTCGGGTGGCAGAACCTGATGTCTAGCCGCCTCAGAAAACAGGAATGATAGCCGCCCACACTTGCTGTTAGGAGAGGCCATTGGGCGGTGATGAGGGAGTCATGACTACAGTCCCAGACTCTGAAGTCCTGTCAAGCTGGGCTCTTATTCCACGGGTACAGCATAACGCGCCGACTGTGTGTTACTAACCTTCCATTCCACCAATATAAGAAAAAGTACTGGTTGCCGGAATTGTTGACTTCCAATGCGCCCTTGACGACTTGACTATGACACTCACCCAGGGCCAGGTGGTGATCTCCATGTTTGATCATCAACGTCGCCCTTGTCCCAACTTCACAGGGAGGTACTGGTGTCCCCACTGTGTCCCTGAGCAGTCTGTCATGGAGGATGGAAGAGGCCAGAAATACATTCATGTCCAGAACAAGGAGAGCCATATCTATTTCCAGTTACCTTGCAGTATAAGCCTTATTCTGATTATGGCTTACAGGAAACTAAGAGAAGGAATGAGTTGGGGGCTGGAGGTAAACGATGATGTGGGTTTTCATGCTTTGAGGTCCCTGGGTTTCCTGAGGCTGATGAATTGGATTCAGGGGCTTGGGCTCTAGGGAGGTCTTAGAAGTTTTCCACTCTTGACAATTAGACCCATGGAAGAAAAGAGGTGGCTGAGGAGGAAGCAAAGAAGCCTGGGTCTACTGTAGTGTCTTCCTGCCTCTGGCACCCCTAACTCCACTGGCACAGCCAGTCCTGTGAGGAGGACCTGGTCCAGGCTCCTCAAGCACAGGCTCCAAGCTCCAGGTCTCCTTCCGACAGCTGCAATGTGGATCTGTTAGCGGCTTTCCCTCGTATTGCCGTGAAGTAGAAGTTTGAAGAGTTCTGCCTAGGTTTTTGTATTTTAGTAATTGCATAACGTTGGTACAGAGAATCTTGCTATGAGGGTTTTTTTTTGTTTTGTTTTTGTTTTTGGCAGCATAATGGTAGGACCAGGAAATTGAAGGTCCCAAGATACAGATATTTGGTATTTATCAGCTACCTGCTGGGTACTTGAACAGACAGCTGAAGGCATTGGACAGGCCCAGGTGAAGGGCAAAGCACTATTCTTGTAGAGTGTGCAAAATGCAAGGAAAAATGAATTTGAGCTTGGAGATAAAAGTCAGCAGGGTAACGACCGTATGGTTCATGGGCACCACCTGGCACGCTCGGCCGGCCTGAGCTAGTGAAGGTTGAGTATTCCTTCTTAAATCTCTCACCAAACCACAGGAGGACTTCGGAGGTGGGGAACTGGAGCCCAGAGTACGAGATCCATGTCTCAGATCACATGGACACTGCAGTGGAGCTGGGACTCCACTCAGGCACCAACTCCAAGGGACATGCCCCCTTTTCTGTAGACCCCCTAGGGGTCTCCACAGTAGCTGAGGCTGCACTTCTCTTGCACATGTAGATGTTAATGCCATGGTGCAAGACCCTCAGCTCCCTCAGGCTCCTGTCTTTCAGAGTCTACAGAAATTACTCAACGGGCCCCAGGCACTGTTAGAAATGCTGAAGACCCCCATGAGTAGGAAAGTCCACAAGCAGAATGGATGGGTAGAGATAGTAAGCAAACGTAGCACAGCATATCTTGAGGTCTGAGAGATGTCGGGATGAGCAGAGTTTTTGGAGCTTCTGAGGGAGCCACAGTTTCAGGGGAGAAGGGGCAGAGCCCATCAACAGCATATTGCGAGGAAGGAGCAAAAGACCCAGCACTTGAGCCATCTGCACCAGGATCCACTGATTCTGGCCCAGGAACGTTTTGTGCATGTTATTGTGCTCATACGTGTGGAGGTACAGTGTGTTTGGATCCGTGTATGCATTGGGGGGTAACTAGTGTAGCCATCATTATAAACTCTCATTTCTTTATGGTAAGTACATTCAGATTCTTTGAGATAGAAAATAACCCTATTGCCAATTACATTCTCCCTGCTGGTGTTTCACTTGTACTAAAAACCACTTGGTTCCAATTTTGTCTTTCTGCCACTCTCTCCTGTCTGCCTCATGCCCAGGTGCCTTGCAGGACTACAAGGACCGGGTGATAACCAGATTCACCGCAGAGTTAAACAGACACCCCCGCTTGCAGAGTACTGCCGGCTGGACAGAAATACAAACACTGGTTGACGCTTTTCACGCAGATCAGCAGGGCTTCCGGGCACGCACCGTGGTCCTGCATGGCAAGTCAGGCACAGGGAAGTCGGCTTTGGCCCGAAGGCTCATGCTGAGCTGGGCGCAGGGCACATTCCACCAGGACACCTTCTCCTACGCCTTCTTTCTCCAGGCCAGGGAGATCCGATGGATGGAGGAGAGCAGTTTTGCAAAGTTGATCACCAGAGAGTGGCCAGACTCCCAGGCTCCAGTGGCAGAGATTATGTCCCAGCCTGAGAAGCTCTTGTTTGTGGTGGACAACTTTGATGACCTGGACACCAGGCTCGGGGAGGATGATGAGCAGCTCTGTGGAGACTGGGCCGAAGAGCAGCCGGCCTCAATCCTGATGCGCAGTCTGCTGAGGAAGGTGCTGCTGCCGGAGTCCTCACTGCTGGTCACTGTCACAGACGTGGGCGTGGAGAAGCTCAAGTCACTGGTCCAGTGCCCCCTTTACCTGATGGTGGGGGGCATGTCGGTGGAGAGGAGAACTCGGCTGCTCCTTGAGCACATCACGGATGACCCTTCCCGGACACAGCTCTTGCGCTCAGTAGTGGACAGTCACCGGCTCCTGGACCAATGCCAGGTGTCCACAGTGTGCCTGATGCTCAGCATGGCCCTGCGGCTGAGGAGCAGCTCGGCCCCCGTCTGCCGGACCCTCACGGGCCTGTATGCCGCCTTCCTGTTCCACCAGCTCAGGCCCCGAGATGTACCACTGCGCTGCCTCAACCAGGGGGAGAGGGTGACCCTGAAGAGCTTATGCCGGATGGCAGCCGAGGGCGTGTGGACCACGCGCTCCGTGTTCTACAAGGACAACCTGCGGGTGCACGGGCTGAAGGTGGACGCGCTGTCCTCCCTGTTCCACATGGACGTCCTCCTCAAGGAGGACCGCGGGGAGAGCACTTATACCTTCCTGCACCCCAGCCTGCAGGACTTCTGTGCCGCCCTGTACTACCTCCTGGAAGGGCGGGAGAAGGAGCAGGACCGCTGCCTCCTGTTAATCGAGAACATGCCGCAGCTGAAGGAGCTCCAGCAGATGGCCTTGGGCTCTCACCTGCTCGGCCTGAAGCGGTTCTTATTCGGGCTCATGAACAAGGACATACTAAAGGCGCTAGAGGACCTGCTGGGCTGCCAGGTGTTCCTGGGGGTGAAGCAGAGACTCCTGCGCTGGGTGTCTCTGCTGGCCCCACGGGCCACCACGGCCACCCCCCGGGATGTGCTGGACTCCTTCCACTGCCTCTTTGAGACTCAAGATGAAGAGTTTGTCCTTTCTGCGTTGAGCAGCTTTCAGGAAATTCGGCTTCCCATCAACCAGAGGGAGGACCTCGTGGCCTCCTCCTTCTGCCTCCAGCGCTGCCAGCAATTGCAGAAGATTCGGGTGGACGTCAGAGACATCTTCGTGAGGAGCGAGCTTGCTGGAATGTGCCCTGTGGCTCCCCCCAGGTGAGCGCCTCCCGCAGTTCAGTTCTGGGGTTTGACATGGTTCCAGATCCTTGTAGGACAAATCATCTAGATCCCCAAGCTAAGTGACAGGACCCAAATCTAGCTCACTGTGGATAAGCTCTTGAAAAACACTGGGCCCACTGAAGACTATTAAAGGAGAGGATCTGGGCCTGGAACCCAGGGACATGTGGAATTTTTTCAAAGCTCTCTATCAGTTTGATCCTTTTGACTCACACACTGCCCTCTAGTGTAGGGTCCAGAGTTGTGCTAATAGAAGTTTCTGCAGTGATGGAAGTGTTCCACAATACTTTATCCAATATGGCGCCCACTAGCCACATGTGCCTATTGTGCTCTTAAAATGCCTTGAGACTTCTCGAGGAGGTCAGTGGACCCTTAATCTTATTCCATTACAACTTGCTTATATTTACATGGTCACACGTGGATGGAGAGTTTACAGTGTGTCCTCAATGGTGAGGCGCCTGTCTATCCAATTGCCCATCCTCCCAGGACCCGCATAGAAACCCAGTCAAGAAGGTGGCTCTTGTTAAACCATGACACAAAGAAAAGACCACCGACTCCAATTTTAAATCAAATCAAAGCAAGCTTGTAATTCTGACTAGCTGGGACTCTCTCTCCAAAAATCCGTGGGATAGAAGACGGTACTCCAACTCTCTAGGAACACAGTTTTATAGCACAAAAAGTTGCAAAAGGGGAGTGTCTTGAGAACTTACAGATAACAGAATTTTGACAAGCAAATACAAAGGCAGGTAGTAGGTTAATGGTGTAAATGGTTCAGCACTTAGGGAGTAAATTTAGATCCCAACATCAGAATTTATGAGGCACTATTAGGGTTTCAGAGAGGGCTGTTATCTGGTCAGGGAAAGCCAGGCATGGGTAAGTTCAAGGCATGGGCAGGCATTCCAAGCAAGTTTAAAACATCAAAATATGGCCAGGCCAAATAGAAATCCTAATATTTTATAGAAAACAGAAATGAATCTTTTATAACTTTTGACAAGATGGCTCCTGATCTTATGAGGGAATTAAGCTGTAGTAGGAAATAGTAGATCATAGTACTTCCCAGAGTGTGACCTCAGGAAAGTTCACCAACTGCCTGAGCCTGTTTTCTCATCTGCAAAATAGACATAATGGCATTTACCAATCTAGCTATATGAGATCATAGCTGAAGCACCTGGGAACTATGCCACTTGGTTAGCACACAGATGTTGGGTGGTAATACCATCACAGCTAATCCAGGGCGGGCGTAATTCGGCAAAGAACACTGGGCAAACTTGGTTTTGAATTTTACCTCTTCCCTTAATAAGCTTTGTGTCATTGACAACATGGGGAAGTAGCTCCAACCTCTTGGACTTAGAACTACAGCAAATTCCCACACAGGGAGCTAGCACGGTGCTTGAAAAAACACCCAGGCCCTGGCAAGGCAGCCGCTAATGGTGGGAAATGATTAGGTCTGAAGCTTGCTCTGCTGGAGGAGCTTGCACTGGGGCAGAAGCAAGGGTGCCTGGCCTGTTACCTTGCTCGGCCTGTCACCTTGCTCTGCCTTTCCACAGCCAGGGGAACATAGGCCCAGGCACCTTCCTGTTGAGAAGCTGGGAATATGTTAAGGATGCCCTGAGCTGGCTCTGTTTACAAAGTCTTCACAATCGCGCCATAGTGTGCTCCTCAGCACTGCCACACACTTCCCGTTCTGTTTTCAGTTGAGAGCTGCATGTTTAAGGGGTACAATGTGATGTGATGCAGGTTCTAAAAGCATTTAATCAAGCAGAGTGGCATACCCATCCTCTCCCCTGGGTACAATTCCTTGTAGTGAGGACATCTTAAAACTACCCTTTAAGCAATTTTAAGATAAATAGTAACTGTGATCACCATGCTGTGCAAGTGATCACTGAAACCTGTTCCTCCTCACCAAACTGTTGTCCCTTGGCCAGTGTCTGCACTGCCCCACCAGGCTCCAGCAGCCACTACCCAGCTCATGATCGCTGGCTGGTTCAGATTCCTCGTGAGATCATTGCTCGTCCCTCTGTGCCTGAGTTACTCATTTCCCATGCTGCCTTTCAGGTTTATCATTTGCTTTTTTTATTTATTCCTTGAGCACTCCAGTGAGATCAGTCAGCATCCTGGAAACGTCAGCCCAGTGGTGAGGTGGCCACCATGAACAGGTTTTACACATTTCACGTGTAAATCAATGTCGCTAATGCTAGTTCTGCTGCGGGTCTCTGGGACCGAGTCTGGGATCCAGAGCTGTGACTCCATCGCCTTCCTTCAGAGGCCCTGGTGGCCCTGCTCTAGCTGACCCATCCTGGGTCCCTCACCTAAGTTGTCACACAGTAGTTGTCCTTCTGTGACCTGCTTGTTCCGCTCAGCTTAACATCCCCTGGATTCATCTGTTGTTGAAAATGGAAATTTTCTTTAAGGCAAAATAAAAATTCCATTGTGTGTAGAGACCACATCCACTGAGGGACATCAGGTTGCTCCCAGGTCCAGGCTGTGATGCCAATACCTCTTCAGATTTCAGGTCTTTGGGGGAGCTGCACAGAAGTGAGATTGCTGGGTCATGCCGTGGTGGTTGTTATTTCTTGTGGGATGGCCACAGTTTTCACAGTGGACACAGCATCTATCGGGGGACCTAGAACTCTAATGTGGCTTGAGAGCAGGTAGCGCCTACACACCCTCATGCCCCGCCCCAGGCATAGAATTCCAGGAGGCATCTAGGTAAGAGCCAGTCTGCAGTGCACAAAGGGGGCCTGATAGGGGCCCATCTTGCTGTACCTGGTCATCTCGCTCCTCATTGTCCCAGGGCTGCTGGCATCCAGGTGCATCTCTCACATCTGTGTCTCCAACAGGCTGCAGCAGAAGGCCCTCGTGGACGAGTGGTGGGAAAGCTTCTGCTCTGTCCTAGGCACCCACCCGAATCTGCAGCAGCTCCACCTGGGAAACAGCATCCTGAATAAATGGGCCATGAAGACACTCTGCCTCAAGCTAAGATGGCCGACCTGTAAAATACAGAATCTGATGTAAGGCTGCCCAGCCCCCTACTAGAGAGGCTCTCCCTGTCCTGAGAGGAGACCCGGCCGTAACCCCACAGATGTGCTGAGGGGATACGTGCTGTGGAAGGTGGTGGGGAGTGACTAGAAACCATGCTGTGTGACTAGATTGTTGAAGCAGGTTCCCTGACTCTGGGTTTTGAAGGGTGAGTAGGAGTTGGTTAGGAGGGGAGAACGTGAGGAGAGCTTATCCCGGGTGATGGTAGAGCTGGAGGCAACAGTGAGTACAAAACACGTGGTCCACAGACCCTGTGAAGCCTGTCCTCCGTGATGGGGACCGAGCATAGCACCAACCAGGAGGGCCCAATGAGCTCTAGGTGCAGCATGGAGCTGGGACACTGTTGTAGGCTCCTGGAGCAGGACCAAGCGCCAGGTCTACTTCAGAAGCTCTGCTGCCGACTTTGTGTCCAAGACCAAGTGACATTCATGCAACACCAGGATGAGGGTGTTCAAGTTTTTGGTTGCTAACCTCCCCCTCTACCCTGCCCCTCCCTCTGTGAGCAGTTTTCTTCAGCCAGCTGGACTGAGGAGTTTGGCTCCAGAATAAGGAGGAATCCCTCCTCCTCACACCCCATGACGACCTGGACTTCCCCAGGGCTGGCTGTCCCTCTAAGTGCTACTCCCTGGGAACCACCTCCACCCTACCCCACCCCTGTCCAGCAGCATGTCTGTGGGCATCACTGTACCCAGCAGTGGTGGAGATTCGGGCAGCGTCTCACTGGTCCCCTAGCTCACAGCTGTCCTCCTTAGCATTCCCTGAATGCTCCTGCCCTGACATCCTTTTTTATTATTTTTTATTTATTTATTCTAATTAGGTCTATATGACAGCAAAATGCATTTTGATTCATTGTACACGAATGGAGCATAACTTTTCATTTCTCTGGTTATACACGATGTAGCATCGCACCACTTGTGCAGTTATACATGTACCCAGGGTAATGATGTCTGTCTCATTCCACCATCTTTCCTGCCCCCATGCCCCTCCCCTCCCCCACTTTGCCCAATCACAGTCCCTCCATTCTTCCCACGCACCCCCCACACACACTCCCATTATGGAATCCACATCCACTTACCAGAGAGAACATTCGGCCTTTGGTTTTTGGGGACTGGCTAACTTCACTTAGCATGATATTCTCCAGCTCCATCCATTTACCTGCAAATGCCATGATTTTATTCTTTTAAAGCTGAGTAATATTTCATTTTGTATATATACCACATTTTCTCTTTCCATTCATCTACTGAAGGGCATGTAAGTTGGTTCCACAGTTTAACTATTGTGAATTGGGCTGCTATAAACATTGATGTGGCTGCGTCCTTGTAGTATGCTGATTTTAAGTCCTTTGGGTATAGACCGAGGAGAGGGATAGCTGGGTCAAATGGTGGCTCTATTCCCAGTTTTCTAAGGAACCCCATACTGCTTTCCAATGCCGCCTCATCCCCCTGGCGAGCACCCACGCTGGCTTTCCCTGGACTGGGCTGCACGTCTCCAGCTCCACCCCGTTCTCAGCAGGCCGAGTCTGCCCCCAGCCAGCACTGTTGTGTCCTCTCTTCCTGTGCCCAGTGCTCTCTCTCCATGTTCCTGTATGTTGTTTTAAAAGTAAAACTCAAAAAGGGACTTGAGAGCTGACACAGGAGAAGGGTTAGGAGGCAAAGCCACGTTGGTGTCTGGCACCTCACGTCCCCTCTGCTCTGCAGATTTAAAGATGCGGAGGTCAAGCCCGGCCTGCAGTACCTCTGGATGACACTCATCATCAACCGGAACATACGACGGCTGGACCTGGGCAGCACGGCCCTGCGGGAGGAGGACGTGAAGGTGGCCTGTGAGGCCCTGCGGCACCCCAGCTGCCTGCTAGAAGCCCTGAGGTGAGCCTCGGGTCTGAGGACACTGGGACGGGTGGTGCTGAGGTTGTCTCCACCCAGGCAGGTGCTTGGTGCCATTGAATGGCACAGTTAAAAACGGCTAAGGCAACAAACTGTCTCAGACATCATGAAGACGGGCTTTGTTACCGCACAGCAGTAACAACCTCCAGAGTTTCACAAAGGTTAAAAACAGCTGTCACTGGAGGTCGCTGCACCCCCAGGCAGTCCACCCAGTGGTCACGTCCTACATGACCTCACCACAGCGTCAACAGCAGGAGGCCCTGGCATATGAGTGCCCCTCCTGAAACCTTTGCAGCACAAATCCATGCCCGTCCCTGTACCCAGGATGCCTTCTGGCACCACCCCTCCCTGGTCTCATTCCCCCCGCAGCCTCCCCACTGAGCCCTGTGGCCCCTGGTGTTCTCCCTCTAATTCAGCCACTTGAGGATGCCTTAAGGTAGAATCATGGTGTCATTGCCTGAAACTGGCTCCTCCACCAGCCTGTGAGGTCCTTCCCTGCATGGGCCATTAGGTGGGCTCCTCTGTGGCCGAGTGCCAACAGGTGATGGGGCCATGCCACAGTCGGCTTAAGGCTCACCTGACCAGAGGTGTCTTGGTGTGTCCAGCTTCTGGCAGTGATGACCAGATGAGTCAGGAGAGCCTAGTCTAGCAAGGCCGTACTCATGGACTCCCCTACAGGCAACCTGGACCCTGCTTCAGGCTCCATCACTGATGCCCGGCAGCCAGGGAAGACCAGGGGCTGTGCCACTGCCACATGGGCTTGGGCCTGTGACTTGGGCCCTTTACCTTCACGGTGCAGCCACACAGCCAGCCAGAGACGTCCTGAGGGCGAGAAGGGCTGCCCAGTGTGTGGCTCACACATGAGAGACAGCTGCCAACTCTCCTTCCCGGCCCTCCTCTCCCCTCCTCCACCAGCCAGGGCTGGGGTTCAAAGGGAAAATAGGGGACGTTTCCAGACAGGAGGGGGAYGGGACAGGCCATTCAGAGCCTGGAGTGGGGACAACAGCAATCCAAAGGCATACTGGGTTGGCTCCTGGTGGCTCAGGACAGCAGGGTACCTCGATTTCCCTCACCACCGTATCCCCAAGGCCTATGGACACCTGGCCTATGTCGTGTCCCAAGTGTTGGTGAAAGGGTGCAGGGTGGACTGGCTGGCTCCCTGGTCAGGACCTGACGTGGATAGCAGATGGGGCCACATTGTGAAGCTCGGAATCCTGTAGGTCAGATTCTTTTGCTTAGCTTACATCCTGTTTATGGGACTGGAACAGGTTCGTGCCCACAGGCTCATCGACCTGGAGATATTGGAAGTGTTAAATGAAACTGTCCGTGAGAACAGGCAGACCTTTATCCCATCACGGTTCCCAGGGAACACAGCATGGTAGCTTCCTGTGGCATTTGCCCCCTATTGGGTATTAAGTCTCCAGCAGATGAGGGCCCATGGGAGGGCTGCGTGSTCCTAAGCCAGGATTATGCCGTTTTTGCATCTGGGGTATTCGGTACCCAGAGCCATGCAGACACCAACCCTCTATGGGCACTGAGGGGCTGCTGGAGGGGGTCAGAGGATTCCCTCGCCACCTTAGCTGGCTCTCAGTCTTGTGAAAGGACCTGCATCAAGGCAGGCTGGGCAATGTGGTCCCCTCCACACGTGACAAGCAGGTGGGCATGGCTGGCATCTGCTGTGGCTGGATACAACCTGTGCATCTGTCAGACATCCCACGTGCTTGGCGTGGGGGCATCATCCCCATTTTCCAGAGGATAAACTGGGCGGTTCCAAGGACAGTAAGCTGCCTGCCGGGCAGGTGCTTGAGTGGCAGGTGGACTTGGAGTGGGATGGCCCGGCAACAGGCCAAATGTACATTCTGCCCTCCGACACAGCCAGAGGTCTCAGGTTGGGCCTTCTGGCAGATGCCAAGTGCTGTCTATGTGCCAGGCAGTCCTGTGGCTGCTGGAGTGCAGTGGGGAGCCAGGCAAGCCAGCCTCTACCTCACAGAGGTGACGTTCTAGGCAGGGAGGTAGACATGCAGGGACACCCCCAGGTATTCACYGCTATGGGAAACTCGGTGGGAAAGGTGGGCAGTATAAGGTAGTCCGTCCAGCTTACTCCAAAGAYGTGAAACCCAGGACACTTGAGTGAGGAGCCAAACCCATGAGGACCTGGGGCCAGGCCTGTGCTCAGATGCTGCGGCAGGAGCAGCATCCAAGGACCAGGAAGGTGAGCAGAGGAACAGGCCTGCACGAGGGGAGACRCCTTCATGCCGCCCGTCTCTGCAGGCTGGACTCCTGTGGGTTGACCCAAGCCTGCTACCCGGTGATCTCCCAGATGCTCGCTACAGCCACCAGCCTAAAATCCCTCAGCCTGGCAAGGAACGAGGTGACAGACAAGGGCCTGGAGCCGCTCTGTGGAGCCCTGAGGACCTCGCTGTGCACCCTGACAGAGCTGGTGTAAGTGGCTCCCCTTACCAGGGCTCAGGCCCTCAGCACAATGGGGTTGTCCCCCTACAACCTAAAGTGGGGACACATGGGAGGGTGGCGTTTTGGAGTGCCCCAGTGTCAGGAGGACCCAGTAAGTAATGTCTGCCTCCACTTCTGAGCCATGTGAGGGCAGCAGCAGGAAGCCACCCCAGAAAGCGACCACGTGTCCACTTGAAGCCTTTCAGAAGGAGGCGGTGCCCCCACAGATGGGGAGATTGGTCTCCGGTGACGGAAGGGCAGAACAGAGCACCCAGGTCCCAGCACAGACTGGGTCAGACGGGTCCCACAGAGCATCAGCCACAATCCCAGTGAGATTCCTCTGCCTGCTGCCCAAGGGCAGGGGAGGGACAGGTCCAGGCAGGGTCTAGCAGGCCTGGGGGGACATCCTGCCCTGCCCTAGTGGTGGGCAAGGTAGAGCTGCATGCCCACCAACTTTACCAGTCAGGGAAGCAGGGATTCGACCCCTGACCGGTCTCCAGGCTGTGGCCTGGCTGTCACTGGAGCACATCACCTTAGGTCCAGAGTCACAGCCAAGGTTGAGAACGGTAGCACAAATTACCCTCTTGAAGCCAGAGAAGGATGGAGGATCTCGATAGGAGCCAGGGGCRCCCCCTCCACTGGCCAAGCCAGCCAGTCGGCCTCCTCACAGGAAGAGCTCTCGTAGTCCACCGAGGGCCCGTGTGCCAGGCACGTGGCATGCTGACCCCGTTAGTATAGCCACAGCCGTGGGAGAGCAGCTGTCGGGCTCTGGATTGCTCTGGTTTTCAGATGCAGAGCTTCCTTCAAACAGCTCCAACCAGGAGGCCCTGGGAGCCTAATGCCACACAAACAGGACTCCCCACAGGCTCACAGTGCTGGAAGGGAGGGGACAGGAAAACCTCATGGGGACAAGGGAGGGCCTCTGGGGGAAAAACTCATTTCTTCCCGGGCTCACTTCTAAAGGCTGGACACCTGTGGCCTCACAGCCGCTGGCTGCCAAGATCTGGCCTCCATCCTCGTCCACAACCACAGCTTGACGCACCTGTGCCTGTCCAACAACCAGCTGGGGAGCGAAGGGCTGAACCTGCTGTGCCGCTCCCTCCGGCTTCCCCACTGTGCCCTCCAGAGGCTGATGTGAGTCTGTCTGCCCCGCTGCCCGAGGGTGGCCACACARCCTTCTAACGTAGCCCCTGTGGTTCCCGAAGCACAGAACCGGGGCAGAACGTGGAGGGTGCTGCCACAAAGGGACCCGAGACAAGTGTCCCCAGGATCTGCAGGATGGGGCCTGGGACCCCCATAGATGTCTCAGAAACTTGGCGAGACACTGTGTCAAAGTATAAAACACCAACAACGGCTGGGGATGTGGCTCAGTGGTCTGCACCCCTGGGTTCAGCCCCTAATACACAGGCCAAGGAAGAACATGACCTTAAGCACAAGGTGCCTTCCAGGCCCGAGGGCTCCCAGGTGGATGGGGGATGCTGAACCCTGSAGGTGGAATGGCGCCCCCCACCAGCTGCCACACCTTATCCCTGGGGCCTGTGACCGTGCTGCCTTACATGGCAAAGGGACTCCATGGCTGAGACTGAGGATCTTGAGATGGGAGGCCCCTGGTAGGTKATGGGGATGGCCAGCGGTCATCACAGGGGCCCTTAAAAGRGGGGAGCAGAGAAGCAGGAGGTGGGCATCCAAGTGATGCTATCAACCAGCCATTGGAGGATGGCCCTGAAGTCTGGGAAGGGCAGGAGCAGCTCCTCCTGGAGCCTGTGGGGAACACGGCCCTATTCCCTGCTAGGCCCTGGCCCAGGAAGCCCATGCCGCATGGACTTCCATCATAAGATGGTAGGTTGGAGTCCTAGGCTACTACGTCGTGGCCACTGTGAATGGCAGCCACGGGAAGATAATCCTCAGGGTCGGAGGAGAGGTAAAGGGGAGGATCTGGCACCCCACGTGCCTAGTGCCACTACCCTGAGCCCCACAGCCCTCCTGATCAGACATGGCCCTTCCTGAGGGGAGGGGGCTCAACCCTTCCTTGCCCTTGTGTCCCACAGACTAAACCAGTGCGACCTGGACGTGGTGGGCTGCGGCTTCCTGGCATTGGCCTTCATGAGCAACCCACATCTGGGGCTGACGCACCTGAGCCTCAACAGGAACCCTTTGAAGGACAAAGGGTTGAAGCTTCTGTGTGAGGTCCTGCAGGAACCCTGCTGCCACCTCCAGGACCTGGAGTGAGTACCACGGGGGTCGGGGGCAGCCTGCACTCTGCAGGCCTGGGGTGCCGGGGTCCACAGGAGCTCATGTTTCCTGTGGCAAGGTGAAGTGTGGGGTCACAGAGTGTGTGCAAGGGCAGATGCCCTGCGCTGGAAGTCCTGGGGGTGGGTACTTAATGCACTCCTCTATCCAACCTCAGAGGGTGCCACCGAGCCAGCAGGAACTAGAGTGTCAAAGATGGAAACCTCTGCTTTGTCCCATACTCYGCCCTTGATAGGGTATGCTAAAGCATGACCCAGCACCCCACTCAATGGTGGATGTGACCTTTAAAATCCCCTAAAGGTGGGCACTTCCCTTAGGTCCAGTGTCTCGGTCATAAACATTTTTTTTTAGAGAGAATTTTAATATTTATTTTTTAGTTTTCGTCAGACACAACATCTTTGTTTGTATGTGGTGCTGAGGATCGAACCCAGGCCGCACGCATGCCAGGCGAGCGCGCTACCGCTTRAGCCACATCCCCAGCCCCAACAGTCATGAACATTTAATAGCATTGTCGATCAGTTACAAAGGTGGAATTGGTAGACAAGAAAGTAGGGCCATTTGGAAATCTCTGCCTTCCCACTAGTAAGTGGAGTTGGATAGAGATTGTRCTAACAAACCTCTGGGTGCCGCTCAATATGAATTCCTCACTGGTTTTAATTTCAAGCCCTACTTCTGGGTGGTATAGAACTTTACTCTTGGTCAAATGGAGACTCCCTTCCTTTGGGATTGCACTAAACTGCTGGGCGCTTGGGGGATCCTCAGTTTGTCATCGTTTGCCCGCTGTCCCTAAGACARTCTTGCCCCTGGCCCTCAGATGTGAGCCCTCATAGCTGAGTCCCTCCCTGTCTTGAGCCACATGCCTCACGAGGACTCTCTGACCCCAGGGTCACTCTACCTATGGTTTCCAAGCTGAAGATGCAAGTAGAATGTCCCTTGTCCAAAATGCTTGAGCCAGGAGTGTTCTGGACTTTGGATCTACCTCACAGTTTGGAATGTTTGTAGACAGAGACGTCAGGGAAGGACCCAAGTCTACACACAAATCACTCCTCTCACATGCACCATCCCCAGGGCCTGAAGGTGATTTTTGTGTAGTCTTCAGGCCCCTGAGTTGACCGACCTGGCACACGGGGACAGGTGTAGACGGGTGTTGCCATTTGTGGCTTCTCATCAGTACTGGGTTTGACTTTTGGAGCATTTGGTCATGGACCCCCTCGGTCATTGTCACTCAGATGAGCTCTGCAGCCATTCCTCAGCTGCTCCACCCCCACTGCCCATGTGGCCTTGGGCCCCTCCAGGAGAGGCTCGAGCTCTGACCTGCTCACTTTTCCCCAAGAGGGCCCTCTGGTGCCAGCAGCCTGCCCCCTTCCAAGCCACAGGGAGTGAACGAAACCCACAGGGGTCTCTGACATTGCCCCACTGTGGCACTGTCCCTGAATGTCGGCCGCCTCTGGTCTCTGCAGGTTGGTGAGTTGCCAGCTCACCGCGGACTGCTGCAAGAACCTGTCCTGCATGATCGCCAGGAACAAGCACCTCCAGAGCTTGGACCTTGCCGCCAATGCCCTGGGGGACAGTGGAGTGACAGCGCTGTGCGAGGGACTGCGGCAGCCTGACAGCTCGCTGAGGAGACTCGGGTAAGCTCCTGGGATGGCCTTGGAGGGTAGAGCTGGGAGGAGGCCTGAGGGCCCCCATGTGGAGGAGGAAGGCCCGCTGAGGCCAGCAGCCCTGCCAGGTTGGACGGGCACAGCTAACACAGGCCTGGGCTTCAATTCCAGCCCCCTACTGTGGATGAGATGAGGGGCAGCAGGGCATAGGCACAGGGTCTGCAGGAGAAAGCCCTGGGCACCCCCAAGCAGCCCGTGGTGCTGGGAAATGGGGTGGGGGGCCTGGTGTGGCCATTTAGCGGAAGGACGGCACTTGAGCAGTCACCCCAGTGGCTCCCAGCTCCAGTGGGCGTCAGTCACTGGGGCTCTTTAGGACACTCCTGGATCATGCTTGGAACATGGCTCAGCCGTGTTGGTACCTGCCACAGCACTTGCGAACCTTGGAAACACACTGTGTGAAAGGGACCAGATACACAAGGTCACGTGTGTTGATTCCATTGATGGGGAGAAAAGCAGGACAGTCAGCCCCATAGACGGGCTGGGAGGGGGAGGCACGGCGCCTGCCCCCGTGTTGAGGAGGAAGCTAGGGAGCTAGGTGGAGGTGTGGCCACCCAGCTCCACCAGGGGGTCCACTGGGGGCTCCGCTGCACTCACTGGACACCACCCAGGCGCCGGCATCATGTTCTGTATGGCCCCCTCCAGGGCCACCCACCCCACGTGGCCTTCTTTAGAGCCATCTGGGTCTCCATGTCCTGTCATGTGGGTGCTGTGGCCTCCACCTGAAATGCTCCCCACACCCCAGCCTGCCCTCAGGACCTGGGAACCACAGGCTCTGAAGTGACAGGCACAGGCGGGCTGGGGACAGGGGCACTTGAGGATCATGGACATCACTTCCTACCTTCCCAGCATCAGTTTTCCAGCTGATCTTTCTTCCCTTCCCAGTGACATTTATTTCAAACCAACTCCATGCCCRTAAACCTCTGGGCCTACCTGTTCTTCCTGGGGCTTAAATGACACCACCCCCCCTCCAGACACCGCGCAACCCGCGTGAGGAAAGCGTGGGATGAGCTTCCAGGGAGCCCTCGGGGTCTCAGCCACTGCCTCCCTAATGCAGAGTCAACATCGCCAGCAGCAGAGACCCCAGGTCCTGCCTGCACAGCGCCTAGTGCTGCTGTCCCCTGACCCCCATGCCCTGTCCTTGGCCTCCCTAATGGGCGTTTTCTGTCTTTAACTGCTCCAGAACCAAAACCAAGACATGACCCTGTGCCCAGCCCCACACTCTATCATGTGAGTTTAGAACCTCAAAATCCACAATGAACATAAATCCCTCCACCACCTCCTGCAATCCTGGGGCGTCACTGCCCTGTCTGTCCCTGTTGCAGCAAGCCAGGGGGCTCCGTGTTCTGCCTCTGGACACCTAGGCGGCTCCACGTCCTCACTGGGCCTTACTCTAGGGCTTTCCGCTATCGTGTGGTAAACCCTCAAAGCCTGGCCCTCGCCCCTGCCTGTGGCTGAGCTGTAGCCATGTGCTCTCCAGCGTGCCCCCCACAAGGGTGGGGTCCTGCAGACACCRCCGGCACCTCTGCTGCTCTCCTTCAGCTCTCGGCCTTCATCCTTCTTCCCACAACTTGATCTGGGTCACCCAGCAGCCCTCAAAGGGAGCTCAGGGGCAGTAGCATCGCTTGGGAATGTGTCTGAATGGAAACCTTTGAGTCTTTCCTGGAACTGCCCAGCCAGAGATGGGGTGCAACCCCCACTTTTTCTTTGACATTGAGATTAAATCCATGGGTTGGTGCAGGACACGGCACTGATCCTGGGTTTTCTTGGGCCCCCGCTGCTGCAGGCTGGAGGCTTGCAGACTGACCACTGATTGCTGCGAGGTGCTGTCCTCCGCCCTGTCCTGCAACCACTACCTGACCAGCCTGAACCTGCTGTGCAACAACTTCGACCCCTCAGGGATGACCCTGCTGTGCTCCGCCTTCTCCCGGCCCACGTGCAACCTAAGAATAATCGGGTGAGTCCCTGGCGAGTGTTCTGGGGCACAGGCCTACTTCTCAGGCAGGCAGGCTAGCTAGTGAGAAGCAGCCAGCTCTGTACCCAGCTGTGGGTACTGGCTGGGCCGCAGGCTCCATGCTGGACGCCAGGAGCATATGGAGTTGGAGGTGGAGGTTCAGCATCTCAGGAACTTGCTTTCAGGTGGGCTGGGGAGGGGGAGGAGGGAATCTACTGATATTCAAGCCCAGAAATCAACAGAATGGTTCTACTCAGCAGCTAAAAGCAAGACCTGAGTCACTGGCACCCCTGCCGCAGCAGCAGCACCCAGTGGTAGCCAAGAGGCAGGTGATGGGTGAGCAGTGCCATCCACGTAGGCAGTGGAACATGGTGCCTTGAAGGGCAGTTCTGACCTGGCCCCGCAGGGGAGCCTGGAGGACACGACACTGAGTGGGCCAGGACAGTGGTGTGCTCTCCCATGAAGTGCATAGCCTGGTCTCAGGGTGCGAGGGGAAGTGGCTGGGGACTGGGCAGCTGGGGACGACACACAAGTTCTACAGGAGTGTCCAACAACACAAGTGTATTTACTGTCCCGGACTGCACCTAGAAGAGAGTAAGCAGTCATTTTTAAGTGTATTAAAGGTTAAATTAAAATATAAGGTTCGGGGTCACTGCAGATGGTCAATGCCAAGGAGGGAGTGAGATATAAGAGCCGTATACYTGAGGAGGCACTCGCAGGTCACGGTGCTCCCCAGCAGCAGGCACTTGATCTGAGCCCTCAGGGCACACGGTGAGGTGGGAGCATTCCTGGCTGAGAGTCGAGGGAAGGTAATGAGAAGAGGGAGCAGTGGTAAAACCTGGGGTTGACGGGATGGTGGATGATAAGCCCGTGGTCAGGGAGAGCCTCAGTCCAGATTTTTAAAATCTGATCTTTAGGATCCAGGAAGGCCTCCAGCAGCTCTGTATCTAAGGTGTGGTGGCATGTGACACAGGAGCTTGGGCAAGATCCAGAACAGGACAAAAGAGGTGGACCAGCCCCAGAGGGCGGCACTAGTGAGAGCCAGGCTGAAGAGTCTGCCCCACACTGCTGTGCTGCATGGATGGAGCCACTTGAGGGAGTTCCCAGGGGCCAAGGGTCCCATCCTTTAAGAACAAGATCTCTTTCCCATGAAGGCCACAGCACAGAGACAGTTTCCCTGCCAAACACGGAAACTATCAGTAGAAGCTAAAGCCTTCATCCTGATGGTGAGCGGGGCTATGATTTGACGCTGGAGAAAGGAGCCTGCGGAATCAAGGACCCCCCCTCAACACACAAAGGGGGGCAGTGGTGTCCTGGCAGCAGAGGGTTTACCGAGGCTTGGCATGTGTGTGACCAGCTGTGGCCCAGGCGTGACGCAGGTTGGCCAGTGGGCTTGGGCA